CCCCAAAACCCCAAAACCCCAAAACCCCACATGACCAAATTTTATGTATTAATTGATTAAGAAATTAATGTGAGAAGCCAAATAAATAAGAGATGAACTCACAAGCAAGATTACTTAGTGTCATCTCTTGATATGATTTCATACCTTTATTAAAACAAATGACAAGGTAATATTGGCTGTAATTTCAATAATAGTCTCCTCCTGGATTGTACCAGAAATTGCAATAGTCATAGGTATAACTGAATAAGACACTTGTTATTCCGAACATTTGACTGGACCAGAAAAAGATATTACCAACTAGCCTTCCCTTGAATTTTTGGAACAACGACACCGCAGAAACTTGGATAACTTGAAGACTGGTAAGATAGAAAGATACTTTGTGGAAGAGCACTGTCAAGAAAATTTCATGGAAGAGGATACTAAATACAAATGTCAGTATATTGGCCTGGAAAACTGTCACCTTGTATCTCATTAGATACTCCAAGTAGAAGTGTCTATACAAGAATTCATGAACTAGTCGGTTCCATTTCCTAGCATACTCGTCGAAATTCGTACTATTCCAAAAGTCTTAATAGAATTGTCTATCAGCGAATCCAGAAACCTCAGCCCAGAAATTGCAGGCGAAGTCAAATACTATAAAGAAGCAAGTGAAATACATCATCATAATTGGGACGTAGAAGCTAGAGAATAATTCAAGACTCGAGACTCCATCTTGCAACAAATGAGCAAGTGGAATGAGCTGGCTTTGATAAGTCTCATACACTACCATCTATATACGATTTAAAACATCTTTGAATTACAAATGCAAAGAATAAAATGACTAATCTTGCAACTATAGTTTTGAGTGACCTTTTCTCATTAATAGGATAGGTGTCTTGATAAACTAGCACAGGGTGGAGCATAAAGTGCATAAAATCCCATATATTAATGTTTTTAGGGTATTTAGAGGAAAACTCTACCTTTGTACCTGTTTATTTCACAGCTAACTCCAAATTATATGCTTCCATATAGTCTCTGTTCATCTTGAAGTAGGAATTCATCTAAATACCCAGTTATCATTTGGAATGATATTATATACCTTGAAGTAGTGTATCATGACTTAGAAATGCATAAATCCCTTAGTAGAGACCATCAATCTAAAACACGCTTAAAGGACAAGTAAGTTACTCCGAATAAAATATTCTATAAGGAAAGTATAAGAACAATAGCATTTCTTCTATGTATTCAACCAATTCGATCAACTTAAACGGGAAACCTTTCAGAATCAAATAGTGGTTGACAAAGGCTCTATAAAGTTAAGGAATAGAATAGTTACAAATGAACCCAAAAATAGAGTAAAACCCAGAAGCCGATTCCGTGAGAAAACTAATCAAGTACTGTGTAGAATAATTGACTTGTGATTATATTGCCCTCAGTGTATAATCTCAACTAAACGAAATCGCATTTTAAAATGAAATAGCTTACTGCAATACTATTGACAACAAAAATAAAGGCAATAATAAGCGAAAGTCTCATCATTCCTTTAAAAGGTGATTAAGAAATCGAAGAGTCTGTATAGACTTGATCCAGCAGAGATGGTCTAGGCACAAAATCATTATAGGCATATCTGCTTTTTCTGACATCTTTTAAACTCAAGGTCTTCTTCTTTTTCCTTGTCACAACCTCGTCTGGAGCCTCCCCGATATACTTCTTCAACTTGGTTGGTGTCGATGTGCTCCTCTTGTCGTTGGAACTATCTCTGGTATCATCGCTCTGTCTCCTCTTTTTTGCTTATTATTGCTAAAGCAGAGTTGCCTTTAATTAAGTCATCAATTATAATGATTTATAAATAATTATAAATCAAAAGACAAGTAGTTAATAACAGATTCTTAAGTTTACTTCTAGCATTTAACTCATTTCATAATTTACTGTATTCTGAAGATATATATATTCCTATCAATGGGGTTTTGGGGTTTTGGGGTTTTGGGG